TTTAACACTCAATGTAGTAGAATAGATTTATGTAGTTCTATCAAATACACTGTGATTCTCCCTATTCAAGTCTAAATAGCATAAGGAATTCTTAGAAGTTATGAGCATAAGGTCTGAGTTGATTAAGTCATGTGACATCTAGCTAAGCTTGGAAAAATATGTGTTTTAGGCCATTCCTGTCCATTCCTGTGCCATTCCTGTCCATTCCAGTGGATTCCAGTGGATTCCAGTGGATTCCTGTGTCATTCCTGTGGATTCCTGTGCCATTCCTGTCCATTCCTGTGGATTCCTGTGCCATTCCTGCGGATTCCAGTGGAATGGCTCCATTCCTGCGGATTCCAGTGGAATGGCTCCATTCCTGCAGGAATCAGTGGGGCATGACGAAGTACTGGCAGCAGGGGATGGGGGAAATGGAGCATCTAGGGACTCAGAGTGTGGGATGAATGTCAAGGTGAAGCACATGGCTATTGCACCTCAAAGTCAGAGAAATGCGAAGGACGGAAAGTAGAGTGGGGCGCGAAATTGAGGAAAAGGAAATGAATGGACGGCATAACAGAAGAAAAGGTTCATAATGACCAAACATGAACCCCATCATGGGGGGCAACCAAAATCAAGACACCAAGTGACTGAGCCTTCAATGACAACAGCAAAAACATACCTGGAGTTGTTCGATTGTCATGCCTTCGTAGTTTTCCACTGTCTTGAAAAGGTCATTGAGATTTGGCATTTCCTGTGAAACAAAGTGGGTCAGCATTGGCTGGGATGGTATGACTGGAAGCGGAGCAGTGAAAGTGGGGATGCGAGCAAGGGTGAAGGAGCTAGAGAAGGAATTTGGATGAAGCGAATGACGGGATGTGGAAAAGAGAGAAGGGGGGAGGAGACGGCACAAAAAGTCAACCCCGAGTGGGAACGAGCCAAAGAACCAGGAAAGAAGGCAAAAAAAATACCCACCTCTTCTTTGGGTAACGACTTGTTGCTCAAGGTCTTCTGCAGTCTGTGCCGCCAATCACGCACTTTGATTGATTCATTGTCTTCAGAACCTTTGGCTGGAAAGAGAAGAACGCAGTCAGCTTCTGACATGGCGAGAAATGAAAGGACAAGTGATTGGATGGGGATGGCGGTGTGAATAGGGTGGTTGAAGATGGTAAAGCATGTGATGAAGGAAAAGGAGTGGTAAAAAGGGAACATCGTTAAAAAAGGCAGTGTCATTCAAAAACATAGAAAAGTGGTGCCCTGGAGTGACATTTGAAAGTCACCAGGGCTGCGGAAGAGGACAATAGGATACATCGCAAAGGTAAAGAAAGCACCGAAACCAAGGAAAATGTGCGCAAGAGGCAAGTGAAAGTCGACGCTGAAGATAAAGAGACGCCAAAAGGGAAGTAAAGGAGAGAAGAAAGCAGTAGGGGCTGATAAGGAACGAGATGAAGGGAGAAAAGCACTAGAAAGTGCGGCAAGTGCAAAAAGGTCATAAAAACAACCATGGCCCATGGAAAGTGGCAGTTATTGCCCCAAATTCAAGAGTAGAGAAGCCTAGGGCCCAAGACGATGATTGAATGGCACCAGTGCCTCCGAAAAGAATGATAGACCACAACAAAATGGACAAAAAGAGGAAAACCGAAGAATGAACAATGCCAGGTATAAATGAAAGCTGATTTTGGAGGCCAAAAGGCAGGCAGAAGAAGGAAGACAATGATAGAAGGTGATACGGCATGCAAGGAAGCGAGAAAAGTGCTCAAAAGTGCAAAAAGGTCCAAAAAGAAACCGTGGGGTCAAGAAAGTTGGAGGACATCTAAATTTCGAGAACAAAAGGCGCAAAAGCGTTTGGGAGACCCTTGAGAGACAGTAGCACCTTGGAGAAGATGATAGGACATAAGAGGAAGAAAAGGCGGGTCAAAAGCACAAAAAAGGCGCCAGAGGAGGATGAAAGTTGATGCCATGATAAGGAAAGACACCAGAAGCGATAAAAAGAAGGGAAGGGTGAGGAAGGTGCTTTTGTAAGGCAAAAGCAGCTGTATGATGAAAAAGAATGGGAGAAGCGGAGGGAAAGCAAAGGATGGGTCACAACAGAGGGAAAAGGAAGGTCAAGCAAGAGAGAGGCAGGCAGAAGAGAAGGGAAGAGAAGAGAGATAGAAGAGAATGGAAGGAACATCAGAGGACATCCAACAAAGGCAAAACATGAAAATGGGGGTTATGAAAAGCAATCCGATGAAAAGGGTGGAAAACATCGAGGAAGGGGGGGGTGCCAAAGTATAGCTCTTAGACAAGGAGAAGATGGCAGAAAAAGGGTCTGGGGCATTCCAAGAGATGAGGAGAGGAAAACAGGGGCAAAAAGGGCAGTTATGGCAACAGCGAGCAAAGACAAAATAAGAACAAGCTAGAGGATCAGAGCGATCCGATGATCCACTCCACTGATCCACCAAGCCACCAGGTCCGCAGAACCACAAAGAAAAGGAAAAGGAAAGCAGACTTACCTTCATCTGCATCGTCATCCTGGTCCCGTTTTCCTTTCTTCGCTGGTGGGGGCGACGCAGCAGTCTTATCTGCCGCAGCCGCGGCCTTCTTGGAGCTCTTTGTGCTAGGCCCAGCATCTGCATCATCTTCAGCCTCATCCTCCGCATCCGCCTCAGCTTCACCTTCATCTTCAGACTCAACCATTGCTTGGGACTTTTTGGAACGTTTAGAGGCACCATTGCCATTGGCAGCCTTGGCCTTCCTTGTGGTGCTTCCAGCATCAGCGTCTTTCTTTGCCTTGGCTTTCGCTGGTTTATCGGATTTCTTCCTCTCTTTCTTTTCTTTGACAGATGCAGAAGCATCGTCGCGTTTCCTCTTCTTCCCTTGTTTCTTGCCTAGCAAATCAAGGAATTAGCATGTCACCAACGACGATAAAACATAACATGAAAAAACACGAACCTGCAGCCCCTTCATCTTCTCCATCCTCTGTCTCTGCAAGCTGATGAATCTCAGCATTTTCCTCCATGTCTACTGTATCCTGGATCATAGCCTCTTTCTCTGCGAGCCACGTCGCAGGGTCCAGAGCAATACAATACCCATTCAACAGCTCTGACGACTTTTTGTGGGGCTCTGAGATGTACAACTCGATTTCGTGTCATTGGAGCTTTGAGATGTCTTTCTCGACTAACCATGCACTGCATGCAACGTGTCAGCATGGGCCACGTCAGGGCGGAGAACACATGGAAAGAAGGACACACTGGTCACCCAAAGGGAAGAACCTGATGCAGTAGAACATGGCCTTTTTGCTGCTGGGGCATTCGAGAGCCACGGTGGGGTGAACATTGTCTGGGTCCACAACCTAGACGTAGATCAGAACTGTTGGACGTACTCGACGCGAGGAGGCTCACCATGCCGGGCCACAGTGGAAAGCTGCGCACTTTGCCTAGGACTGTGTCATTGATGTTGTATGTTGTTGCCACCTTTGCCTGCTGTGCTTTGCCACTTTTCTTGCTCATCGTGGCTGGTGACGTGTGCGATGTGGCAGACAGTGAGGAGGGATGTTAGGAAACCAAAAAGGATGATGATTGAAGATTGTTGAAGCATGAGACAAGCGGCCTTGGCTATTTCCAGTCACATCACCCCCTTTTGCACACAGACCCGCCCCCTGCTCACCAGGGACACTGTGCAGGTCACGCTGGTTGAAACTCAACCTAACATAGGTCGCATTCAACTGCTTTTTAGGTTGATCTTCATCAACCTGGGTCACTTTGGTTGATTAACAACCTAAAATGGCTGTTTTCAATCTAAGCCTTCTGAGGCTGTTATACCAGTTAATTTCAACCTATCATTGGTTAGTTTTAACTTAGATGATGGTTGATATTTGACCAATAATGAAGTGATTCTGATAAAAACCTTATATATTGCTTGTATGATAGGACACCAGTGTGCTACTGCTAGTGATGGTACACTGGGTTGAGACTATGATAAAAAAGACCATTGGAGATCACTGCAATTAGTGTTTAAAGGTTCAGTCCATAGGACCGCAAAAAACCGGTGGACCGAACTGAACCGGACCATGGTCCGGTCTTTTTTTCGGTTGCAGTTGCCCCAATTTGGGGTTGGTCCGGTTGCCGGTTGCCTCATTTCGAAAATATATTAAAACCGTTCAAAGACCGGTTTTGATCGGTTGCAACCGGTTAAACGGTCACGTGCGTTACATACCCTTGTAACCACGTTTATTACCTTTTATTGGGTTTTTGTTTCATCAAAAACGGTTAAGAATTGAGAAAGATATAACCAAATTCATATTTTACCTGAGTCTCTACGAGAAGTAATTCGGTTTCAGTCATAGCTATGTCAAATCTTCATAAAATCTCTTCAAAATTGGTAGAATGACGGGTATTTACATGCTTTACTATTTTATATAACCCATTTATTTTTCAGAGTAATAATAGTTGAGATACAAATGGTTTATATTGGTATAATAAATTATACGCAAAAAAACCGGTCTGGATCGGTCTGAACCGGCTCCATAGACCGCAATAGACCGGTCCTAGGTGGTTCGGTTCGGTTCCCTCAATATCTGGGTCGGTCCTAGACCGGTTGCGGTCCACGGTTGCGCGTTTTGGGGGCAAAAAACCGGACTGAACTGAACTTGCGAACACTAACTGCAATGCTTAATGAGTGAGGAAAAGCTCAGACAGGAAAGGGAAAGATACAGACTTACTGACATGTTTGAACTCCAGTCCAGTTCAGATTTGTGAATATTGTTATAATGGTACAGTATGTAGTGAAGTCCAGCAGAATCCAGCAGAATCCAGTGGAATCCATGTGGATTATGTGGGGGATGGGAAAGTATTGATGCAAAACCATGGGCTTAGTCTGTCCACCCCATGTGAGATACCTATATGCAAAAAAAGCCCTACACCGATGCCACCTATCCTTTTTTCCCCAGGACATCCATCCTCGAGCTTCCTCCAGAGCAGCAGCAGCAGACTGATGTATGTCTAGCCAGTCAGAGGCATCAGAGGCAGCACAAAGCCCGATGAATCAACGGCCTTCATCAACAATGGGTATGGAGAATCTATTGGGCAGGAGTTGATAAAATCCATTGAATAGTGACATAGAGATACCTCAGTGCTGTCCCAAACGACCTTCTGCATCTTAAACCGCAACTGAGGCCCAACCAGCTGCTCTAGTAATAAAATATAGATAAAGTAGCCCACCTCAGAGTCAGACACAAGTGTGATGATGACTGAGGTGAGGGAAATGAAGTTCATAGGTTTATATACAAAAGTTTTGGTGGCCTGGACTAAAGACTAGCAAATAGTGGAAGTATATTTACAAGGAATAAAAAGAAAAAGTGATTGAAGTGTGCAAATAAAATGTGTAAACAAGAGAGCTCACAAGGTGTCTCTTCTAACAGCCTGAGCTGCCCAAATCTGGGCCATAACCATGGCTTTTAGGCCAAGCTGGGCCTGCACATCACTATTTCACAATTCCTTCAAGATTAGGCATGCAGGGACTTCATCTTGATGAAGTCCATGGTGCCCCAATGGTACAAAGTGTAACAATACACCTGTAAAAATGCGAAATTTAGCGAATTCTCCTATAAAACCTTCTATAGTAGAATACAATCACTTTGATCATAAGGATCATTAGACACAGCCTGGTCTAGTCGATTAAAGTCTACCTCCAAGAAATGTGCACACCTCAGGCTGTAGGAATTGTGGTCGGTTCGTGATTGAATCACTTCAATATACTTGAAGTCTAATAAAAGGCTACACTACCATGAAATAGTACACTACAGAGTGTTCTAGAGTAAAGACACCTCAGCACAGGGTGTTGGAGTTTACACCAAACCTGGGTCTCATCTTATTATCAATTAAAAGATATTAATTCTAAGATAAACATGCAAGTGTAGAAGCTCAACGCGTACCTGACACAAGAAGTCATTCAGTCACATGCTACGAAGCATGATCCAAGAAGTCATGTGGTGAGACACATCACGCGCATCAACACATCACAAATCATGGCATCATTGACCCAAGAAAACTCGACTTCATGAAATATTCCGAAGTCTACCAAGAGAGAAAAACTATGAACAATTTGCTGTGCAGTCTGAGACCCATGTGTAGCATCTAATAATAGACAGAAAATCAGTAAGCGGACTGTTCGCCTTGGCTCAACTGATCATGAAAACTGTCTACGGCAGTTCCCATGTATGCATCAATACTGATGTGTCATGTTGCCACAATAGAGAAAA